AAGGAAAAATGACGATTAAGTATAAATGTCCTCTTACGTGTATTCAGCGAGGCAGAGAATTGCAATCCAGGTCAGAATCAACACAAATTCCATTTATTCGTACAAAATAGGCATCATCATGCAGGGCATGTACTGTAATTAATACCTCTTGCATCTCTTTACTCTGAGTCTGGATTCAAGTCGTCTTGTCCAGCTTTTCCATTGAGTTTCAGGCAATTTTCACAGAACCTCTGTGAGTCCTGCAGGTGTTCATAGAGAGAGTGACTCTTTAGCTCTGTTGGGTGCCCCTCTCTGTGATGTGTACATCTGGTCTGAAAAATTCTCTTTTTCTGAAATACTGGACATGACATGACATATCCATGAATGTAAAGGTAGTATCAGGGGCAGCAAAAACGATATGTGCCGAAACAGAACTCTGCAAGTGTCAGAGATCATATGGCTGTCAAAGGAAAGCTGGAGAACGAGCGGTATCTGAATTGGAAACATACGCAATAGTAAGCAGTGACTGGTTTTCTTAAACTGCAGAAAAAATGCAAGAAAGAAATTAAAACTGTCTCATAGAACTTAGAGAAGTGAGATTTGGTTACAAGTACTAAACAGAGAGTAAAGGATCTTTATAGGGTGAAACAACAGTCAAATGATTTGAATCCAAACGTATAACTTCCTCTGCTGAAGTATAAATCTGCCCTTACGGTGATGGAGATGGAGAAGGAGGAATGTGTGTTTCTTGATATTCTTTTTATTCTTCAGATTTTTTGGGGAATGGAGATTACTTTAAGATGATGTCACATTTTATGGGATTCTTCAATTATGTGTCTCTGAGGAAATTCTAAAATGGTGTAAGAATACCTTAATATTAATAAGGTATTTATTTTGTAATTCTGATCTTGATTGATACAAGTAATCATCCATTTAGGTGCAGAGCAAAGTTGAAAGCAGACTTTCTTTTGGTCTCCTGTCATTTTAAAGAGAATGTATGTTAGATACGGTAAAAAAAAGTTTCAAGCTAAAAAAATAAGAATATGCATTCAGGGTCCTGGTCTGTATTTGAAGGTAAAGTTGACACTCTGTAATTAAGAATACATGAATGTTACTCACACAGCCTCTGTGTACATTTACAACTCTGATGCAGGTTTCTAATTATACTGTTACAAAATATAGCGGCATAGCGTTGCTGCTTTGTAGCACTGGGGCTCTGGTGTCAATTTCAGACCTGGAGTGCTGTCTGTGAGGAGTTTGTATATTCTCCCCGTGTTCAAGTGTTTTTCCCTCCAGGTGCTCTGGTTTTCTCCCGCAGTCCAAAGATACTGCAAATCAGCCCTGCTGTGAGGGTGTGTTTGTGCCTGTGTGTGCTCTGCAATGGGCTGGAATCCCATCCAGGTATATCCTACCTCGTACCCATTGCTTGCCAGGGTAGCTCCCCAGCAATCCAGGATTGGAAGAAGTGACTAGAACATTGATAGATGTTACAGAGAACCACTGTGTTTGTGAACATGGATCATTTAGAAGAAAAAAATAATTTTGATGATTCACGCTGTCCCCTGAATCCTCATATGAATGTGTTAAATATTCAGAATATGGAAACATCGGGTATCGAAACAATTTTAAGATCGGCTATGTGTTTGCAAATTCAACTGAATGTTTGATACATGGAAAGGTGAACGAAAAAATTCACTCATTTTGGCTTTTTTATAAAGAAATCAATATCAAGTATTTCACATATAAAAAGCATTCCGAATAACATGTTTCCTTCCATTTTAAATTGAGCATTTCTCCATTTGCCTGGCTGATATTTAGGTGAGAGATATATAAACACATTTCTAAGTCCATGCAAGAAAATTGTTGCTATACTAGGACTTTATGGACACTTTATGGTTTTTAAGTCACAGGAAAATGTCCTCTGTATGTTGACAAAATCTATTCTGATTCTAATTCCAGGTCCAGTCATCTTAGCCGTGAAATGTTAATGACAGTATGGATCTCTAAAAGAGTGCTTTTATGAAATCTCTGATAAGCACCTTCTGGGTGTTTAGAATAAGAACACAATGATTCTCTGTTCAGACAAATGACAAATTCTTCAGTTCCTCCAGTCATCTCTACTGAGCCTCTCTCCATGACTTTCAACTTGACTTCCCAAATTCTCTTATTTCACCAGATTTTCCTTGTTCTACATCAGTGGTTCTCAAACTGTGGTACGCGTACCGGCAGTGGTACTTGGAGTGCCGCCAAGTGGTACGCCAAATGACCCTGGAACTGTGTTGTGTGCGCTGAAAAATCGGGACGGGTTTTCATATTTTGTATTTTAATACGTGTCGAATACGCAGCCTACGTACTACAATACAGTGCGCGCTAATAGTTCAGTGGACACGAGATACTCTGTAATTCTATACCACTCTATAGGATGCAAATGACCAATTGTATTTTAAAAAGCTACTGTATCTCCAGCAAATAGGGAGAAAGGAGAATGTGTGTGATTTTGGAACAAAGCTAACGTTGTAAACACAGGAATGCATAGAAATACGTGCTACGTGCAGGTAATATTGTGAGCACACGAAAGCGTGATACCAGAAAAATATTTAAGAACTGTTCTAATTTAAGAAAAATACAGCGAGCATCTCTGTTTTGCTCCCATGTGCATGAAATAAAAACTTTAAATAAATACAGAAATAAAAACGGAAACGCGGAAAAATGCAAGCTTGCGGATTGCTGAAGCAGGTAAGCTACACTATTTTTGAAGAACCTTATTTACCGTTGGCAAAAGAGCTGACACGTATTATGTGTAGAGAAAAAGCTGCTAAACAGCTCGACCTGCTGCCCTCCTCCCCCTGAAAGACACAGTCATTCATAGAATTATTGAAATGAAGGATTATATCAAAAGTACACTGATAGAGCACGTTAAGATGAGCAGATGTTTTTCACTGCAATTAGATGAGTCTGTAGTAGATTTGGCCAATTTGCTCGTTTACGTTAGATACGAGTTTGAGGGCATGTTCCATGAAGACTTTCTGTTCTGTAAACCGCTACCAACAGGAACTACAGGAGAGCACGTATTTCAGCTTCTGAATGAATTTATCGAAGAGAATGGCTTCGACTGGATAAAATGCGTCTGAGTTTGTACAGATGGTGCTAGAGCAATGACAAGCCGACATAACGGTGTAGTTGCACGAATTAGATAGGCTGCTCCAGAAATTAATGTACGCATTACAACATCCACCGCAAGATCTTTGCCGTCAAGAAAATGCCTGACGATTTAATATCTGTTAGACTCTGTTGTGAATTGTATCAAGGCTCGAAAAATTAATTCACCTCTGCTTTGCTCAACTAAACAGGCTCAGCCCTCTCACTGAAATGGTGCTTTTTTATTAGTTGTTGTTAATGTTTTTTTTCTGTAAAACACTTTGAGAAGCCACCTTTAAAGGTGCTATATCAAATCAAGTTTATTATTATAATATTTATTATATGTATGTGTGAGTGTGTGCATGCGCGCTCATGTTGGTTATTGAGAATTTCTGGGGTTCCTATGAGAAGATGACTTGTAGGTGGTACTTGCATGCTTTGGTTGGATTAGGGGTGGTACTTGGTCCAAAAAGTTAGAGAACCACTGTTCTACATCATCTCTTGGTGTCAGGATTGGATTCTGTTCACATTGGTTTCCACCAATATAGCCCCTAAAAGTACTGTAACGCTTACAGCCGACAAGCAGTGTGTGTAAGAGCCGGCGTACCAGAGCGGGTGACGTCACCGCCCTTCCCTGTGATAGCAGGACCACAGCTACTGGGCTGTAGAGAGATCTCTCTTTAGCTCACGGGGCTAGGTCGCTGCAGAGAGACGCGGAAGTCCCGGGTTCGAGCCTCCAGTCGGGATGGGGCCGACCAGATGCGGCAAGGGCGCCCGCCTGAGCCCCCGTTGCATTACAGTACTATCCCAGAACCCCAGGCTTCTTGTACAACAATTCCAAACATCTCCAAAGGTTATTATGGGTAGCTAGTGTTAGTTTTTACGTTTTTACACAATCACACTCACCTGGAAGAAATTTTTAGATCAGGGGTGAGCAACCAATCAATCACGGAATGCTTGCCCGTTGAGCAAGAATGTTTGGCAAAGAATAAATGGGCTATTTGACTATTTACTTTTGTGTGTGTTTAACCCTTGTTGAATGGGTTGTAAAAGTCTCTTCCCTGAGTGCTGGCTGACTGAAAAAAAAAAAGACTACAGGAGCTCCGTAAATAGAGAGTGTTGTGTGTGCTACCCAAGAACGTTGAACGTTTTCTTGGTTATTGCCGCACGAACCCCACATTCGCTACAGTGCATAGTGGAGCGAAACAGACAGGCCGTGACAAATTCATCAACAGTTTGATTGCCTATTTGATAGTTGTAGTGTTTGAGTGAAAATGATGAAGCAAAGAGACCGAAAACTTACCGTTACCACAAGGAATAGGGGCATGATTGTTTTTTGTACTTTCGCATTCAAATCTGGAATGCTAGCGTCTACGCGTAAAAGAGAAATATAGAACATTTCAAAACTGCACACAAAGCGTATGATGTGGTAAAAGTGAGTTACGGAAATGAAAGTGGAAAAATTAAAATCTGAACTAGCAGCATTCGGTTTTCACGAGGCCTAATACAAGAAGGAAAGGGGCATCATCGTTCGGTGTGAGCCACATCCTGGCTCAACACAAAAAGTCATTCAGGGATCGAGAAGTAAGAAAAAAAGCGTTTGCTGAGGCTACTGACTTGCTGTTGGGAGATTTCAAAAACAAGCAGAAGCAAATATTTTTTTAACCCACCATCCCATTTATCAAAACTTTAGAAAAGCTACACTAGTAAATAGTCTTAAACTTGGAGTTTAATAATGCTATATGCTTGAATGATACCTACTGTACAATATAGAGATATATAGATACAATATATAGATATAGTCGTTGGTATTTTTATGACAACTCGATTCAGACTCAGTACAGACTGTTTTAGTCAAGCTTAGAGAAAAGAGAGCTAGGGGCGAGAGGGAATTGACCACATACTCCAAACCCCTCTTCGAGTAGGAGGATTTAATGGGTGGAGACCTGTTTGAAAGATGTCCTACTACAGTAATAACTCAACAACCAGGTGGAAAATCACCAGAGCAGGAGATTAATAAGAAATCATTAGCCATCTACCACTCACTCTCTGCCCACAACAACGAAAGCAACATCACAGGGGGAGTACGATCTATCTTTCAAAGGTCAGAACGAACAGGGCTGGTTTCTTATACTGACGGGAACATACAGAGAGTGGCAAAAGGACTCAGATCCTTCCTATGGTGACTCATGTTGCGAAAACAACCATTTAAATGTAATATTTTATTGGAAATATGAATGCTCAATCTGAATACAATAAATTCATCAGATACGTCACAGTAAATTTCAGCAAAAACTAGAGAAAAAAAACCCAAACGTAAGAAAGTAATGTCGCGACATCTGCAAATTTAACATTCGCTAATTTGCTTTTTTGTGGTTCGGTTTTGGGTGAAAAAAAGAGCAAAGTGGGATGAAACCAAGCTGAAGGTTGTTAAACGCAACTTTTAAATTACCGGAGCAGTAGACTAGGATGGTGAGACAAATCTTGCCAGTAAATGCGCCTCTCTCTGTGGTTTGGTTTCTGGGTGTTTGCCCAAGTCCCTGCCTCCGCATCTCAGCGAGGTCTTGTGTTCACAGTGTAACAGACACTCCAGGTTCTGTGTCGGCAGTGTGGGGAATCACAGCCTGGAGAGGAGCTTACAGGCTCACTGCCAGTTTTATTGTCCGTTTCATCACAGTGGAGTGTGATGATCATGAAGCAGAGAGAGAAAGTGTAGGAACCTGCTGGACACAGAGGAGGGATTCATGTTGTTTAATTTAACTGATTTCTATACGTTTGTGATTACTGTTGTTTCTTTTAGTTGATCGATGTTAGTTATATTACTTTAAAACCAATGAATTAGTACTTTAATTATCACACGAGGCAGAGTTACTTATGTTTTTCTATCGTGAGAGGAAAGGTCCAGAATTGAAATCGGGGCTCCAGCACTGTGAGACAGCAGTGCTAACCACTACCGCCTTTTTGCAGTTCTGTGGGTATCAAAATAGAAAGTTCGATCACAAAAAAACAGCTCCTAAGATTCCGTTTTCTTCAATATGATAAAATCTTTTCTTGTCCTTAATTTGTTTTGGTACAAATTCCATCTTATTGTCATGCATGATTCAGTTTAACCTGCCCACATTGTCTAAATATTTTGAAAGAGAAATGGAGAAGAAATTAAACACTTAAATGGATGTTCTCCTGCACAATGAGAGCAACATTGTACTAATAATTAAACGTGGTCAATTATCAAAAATTTTAGTGAGCGTTTACAGGCAGAAAAGTGGCATCTTTTCAGTCTTTGTGTTTTGAAATCCTTGTTGTCAGCTTTTCCAGCAAATCAAATAACGGAAAAGCCTAATCACGCTGAAAGGGAGGTTGGTGTTGAGAAGTGACAAGCAGAGGAAACTTACAGACAATATCTTCTTTCTGCAGCTCCAGGCCAGGTTTTCCTTCTGAGATGAAGGAGCTTGTTTGTGTCCTTGGGACTCTACATCTCCTGCTCTCCCCCACAGTCATTAAAGCCTGCACCACTGGCACCATCAATGAATGCAAAGAAGCTGATTATGTGCCCGGGTACAACTTCGCAGGGGAAGGGTTTGACATCGTCAAGATGGAGCGGAAGGGGGCCTACGTCATCAACGTCAACAGCTGGAGGAAGAAGGACAAGACCTGCACTCTTTGCCCCAACTCCTACTTGGAGAACAAGGCCCAGAAGCTTCCCTTGACCGTGGTGGACTGGCGCACTCTTCCTCACTGCAAGATGCAGGTGACCAGCAAGATGTACGACTCCAGCGAATCCTTTGTCAACAACAGCCTTTCTTCGGTGGAGAACAACTGGAAAGCCGGTTTGGATCTCTCGTTGGGCACTAAGCCGGGAGGTTCGCTCATGATTGGTGGCACCCACTCCAAAGCTGCAAAGTACACCATGGAGAAGTCCAAATCAGACAAGTACACCTTCCTCACCCACGAAGTGGAGTGTGTATTTTACAGGTAATAAGCGGCATCCGTCATTTTCGAGGTCAGCTCTCGCTTCATCTTAATATACAATTTTAAGGTTCAGAAATGGGCTCTGTATCTGTGTCTGTGTGTTGGCTATGCACGGGCGTCCCATCCAAGGCCTATCCTGCCTGTGCCCGTTGCCTGCTGGGATAGACTCCGGCTCCCCCCCAACCCTGAATTGGAAGAAGTACTTAGAAACCATATGGGTTAAATGGAGATGGTTCTTCCGGAGAATAACTACAAGAGTAAGCTCCTGTCTGTAATAAGCCATGCACATGTGATTTTCAGCGGTAATCACTAATGGCAGAAACGTGCCTTGTCATCAGACACTGAATCCATCACAAGGAAGGCTTGGTCCTGTTTATTTCTGTTAACGTAGATGAGTGTAGCAGGGAAGCCTCGGGTTTAAGTTGAGTCACTGTATTTAATACACAGAGGCAATGTCTGTGTTTCACAGTAGCATGTATTTAAAAAAAAACGAACGGAAACAATGAGCAAAGAAATCAATGTGCAAAACCGCTCTGATGAGTTGTCTTACTTACACATTCAAAGGAGGGTTTCCCATAAAAACACCCATAAAAACACAAAAAATATAGCCCAGGAATTAACATTAGTGTGCTAGTGTCTTATGACTCAGTTGAGATTAAAGTGTATGGTTTAGGTCACCACATTGTGAGGCAGATCTTGCCGTTCTGGAATCTGTCCAGATGAGTAATCAGATGTTGTCACGATTGTAGGCCCTCCTCCTTAAGGGTGCTCCGGCTCTTTTCGCTTTGGACTTAATTCTGTGCACCTGCCCCTTGTTCCAGCCTCCTTCCCGTTCCCCTTAAAAGCCAGACACTCAGTCAGTTCCGGGCTCTGCTTCTGATTTCCATATCGTGCGAGCCCGGGTCCTGATGAGTCTGGCTCCGTCATGTTTTTAAGTCCCTGTCTCTGTTCCTTTTCCTGTTCCCCCTGCCGGTTCCGACCCCGTTCCTGGTTTTAATCTCCTGGATAGATTTCCCTTCGGGATTAATAAAGTCTTATCTCTTATCTTATCTTTTCAGTTACAGAGTGGTAGATTACCCTAAGCTTTCCAAAGAATTTTTCGGTTCCCTGAAGCGACTCCCTAAAGTGTATGACCACAACACAAAGGAGCAGTACCGCAAGCTGATTGACACCTACGGCACCCATTTCATCAGGAAAGTGAAGCTGGGAGGGAAAGTCAGGACGACAACATCTGTTAAAAGCTGCGAGATGGCCTTGGATGGATTTTCCGAAACTGAGGTGAAGGACTGCCTAGATGTGGAGGCCTCGCTTACCGCCGGACAACGTGCCTCTGTGAAAACAGAATATCATCACTGCAAGAATGACCAGAAGACACGAGGAACTAAAGAGAGCTTCCACAGCACGTTTAGCGAGAGGCTATCAGAGGTAACAGGCGGGCAGGTAGAAGGGGTGGACATCCTCTTTTCTGGAGATTCAGACCCCAAAGCATTTCAAGACTGGGTGACGAGCCTGAAGACCAACCCAGACATTGTCTCCTACTCCTTGGAACCCATGCATAACCTGGTCAGCCTGAAACAAGTCTCAAAAAAGCCAAACCTGAAGAAAGCCATAGAGGAATACATCCTGGAGCAAGCCCTGTACAAGAACTGTTCCAGCAAGTGCGCCTCGGGCTCCACGCCCAGCACGAGGGATTCCTGCAACTGTGTGTGCGAGGCCAACAGCGAAGTCAACAGCAAGTGCTGCCCCATGGAGCGAGGCTTGGCCAAGCTCACGGTTAAAGTAGAGAAGGCTGCTGGACTGTGGGGGGATCATTTCAGCCAGACGGACGCCTACGTCAAGCTCTCTTATAAGAATCAAAACCTGCAGACCAGAGTGATTTATGACCAGAACAACCCTGTCTGGCAAGAGAGCCTTTATTTTGGGACTGTAAAGCTGACCCTGGATTCCACGGTAAACATTGAAGTGTGGGATGAAGATAAAATGTGGTACAAGTGGTGGAATGATATTCTCGGGAAGTGCTCTATAAAACTTCAAAGAGGCTCCCGCTCAGACATGTGCACCCTCAACCACGGCACTCTGTACTTCTCTTACACTGTTGAGTGTGCCCCGGGCTTAGGCGGCACAACTTGCACAGATTACATCCCGTCTCCCATGAGCCCCAGTCTGGCCAAGACATTTGCATCCAGGAATGCAGTGTCCATGTCTCAAGGCCTGCTGGACCAGCTACGCGCTGGACACTCCATGGCGAACTCATCATGCTACACCTGACGCAACTCAAGATTTCCCACACTGACCCCAGATGTTATACACCGGACCGCACTGCTGTGTTGGACCCAGGATTCAGTCCACTGTCTCTCAGGCATCTCCAAACACCTGGCCTACACTGCCTGTATTATCACATGAGTAAGAGGGCCTGTCTTGCTCTCTCAGTTACTAATTCCTCTCGTAAATACTCCGCTTTGCAAATGTATTCAGATCCTTGCTATGATGACTCATTTTGAGAAATCACAGAATTATGCATATTTTTGAAAAAAACTTAAAAAAACTGAAGACTTCTAAGGGTAATATAAGTTACAGTAAATAACAGAAACAAATGAAACGTCAATTGTATAAATATTCAGACCCGTGAACTCTATATTTGGTGGAATTGCTTTTGGCAGCTATTACAGCCGCAAGACCTTTTAGAGAAGGCTTACAGAGGGCAGTTTTCATGTCGTTCCACAGATTCTCCGTAGGATTCAAGGCTGGACTTTGACCAGGCCATTCATGGACATTCATTTTATTCTTAAGCCACTCCAGTGTAGCATTGGCCCTGTGCTTTGGGTCATTGTCCTGCTGAAAGTTGAATTTTTGTCCCAACTTAAGGTTTTAAGTTGATTTATATTAACATTTGACAGCAATTTGCTATGTTCTATGTTCCCACCAGTGTTGTCAGGATTCTCAGTCTCTGCTGGTGAGAAATAGCATTATATCATAGTGCTGTGATCACCATGCTTCATCGTAGAGATAGTGATGGAGTGACACATTCAGTGTGGGCATCTTGAAGTAATGGGAGTCAGGGTGGTGTGGTACAGTAGCTCTGTGGCTAAGGATCTGTGCCTGTGGCTGTAAGGTTGCTGGTTCATATCCTGTTGCTGGGTGATGAATCCTACTCCTTTGGGTCCCTGAGCAAGGCTCTTAACCCCAACTGCTCCAGAGGTGCTGTATAAATGGCTGACCCTGTGCTCTGACCCCAAACGTCTCTCCCTGTCTGTGTGTCTTGTGGAGAGCAAGTTGGAGTATGCAAATAGACAAATTCCTAATACAAGAAATTGTATATGGCCCATAAAGTGATCTTATATAATGCTTTTCATGCTCCATTTTTGTCATGTGTGACAACAAAACCTTTTGTCAAATGTTTTTAGTGCCACTTACAGTAAATGTGTTTCAAAGTCACCATTGGACCCATAGTTGCATCCCTTACCAGTTTCCTGCTTGTTTAGCAAGGGAACAGCCAGCTACAGCTAGGTACAACTTTAACTCTTGAGTTGTTTTGAATGCAGTTTGAATCCCGGCTTGACATTCACTACTTGACTGAAAGAGGTTCACTTGATCTTGGAATAAATACACTTGTTAACAACACAGACAATTAAATGGCCAGTCAATTAAATGGGTGGATCATTAAGGTGACTTTGCCAACCAAAATGTATTTTGGTCTGCCACAACAAATGGTTTGAATAATCACATAATCATGTCATCTCTATTTTTTAAAGAATATTTAATTATGTTTGTTCTTGCGTAGGATGTTTGCAGTAGGTTATGCATGTATAAATATCACTTGCTACTTCAGAAGGGCATGACTGCAAACTTCAAAGCAATGAAACGTGAAATCTGTCTAAGATTCTGAATACTTTTGCAAGGCGATGTACAGTATCTGACATTTCCATTTATTTATTGAAAGTTCCTTCAGATTCAGTATCGGCCACATAAATAAGGATGTGGTTCTTCTATCCCCAATCCTCTTTCTTTCTAGAAAAGTTTCAGAATACATTTTCCTCTATCTCTAAACATCTGATCAGCCCATCACAAGAGACGTGACTTATTCTGGGGAAGTCTAGGGATTCTCATCTTATTCTCTCATCGGACGTGCTACACTTCTAGCAGTGTCTGCAGGTTTTCACCCATTTTAGCTCTTAACAGCCTAAACCAGCTCATTGTTGGCTTGCCGGAACTATTTTAATGCCTTCTCCTAGCATTTAAGCGCTTTGAAGAGATCTACAAAACAAGACCGTAGTCCTCCAGGACCAGGATTGGATGTCACTGATCTAAAAGCACATTCAACCTTGCTGTGGTGACTCAGATCAATGAGATGGGTGACTATCAGTCACTGAGGTCTTCGTGGAGTGCTAGGAAGTGTAATGTTGCAATATTACTTTTTACTGATAGTTTGTAGATATTTAAGTTAAAAGTTATGCAGAAGCTAATATGAAGAAAAGCAACAACAAGTAAAAGTCACCATGTTTTGGGTAAAAATCAGAGTTTAAAATAAATCTTGAAATAGTCAGTTAATGCTTAATGACCAGGGTCTTCAGCTTATCTCAAGCATCAAGAATGAGATCAATTAAAATCTGTATTGATGACAAAAAGATGTAAACATAACTGTTGCATGAAAGAAAGCATACAGTATCTACTGTTCGTGATGACTGGTTCTGTGTACTGCATTATTCAAAAATAAATTGAGCACTTTCAAAGAAATATATTGTCAAATGTTCTCAAGTGAAGTGGGTTTATTCATCCCGTGTAAGAATCAGAGAAGACTTTCCAGCACGTCACCACAATGCCAGGGTGTTCTATGACAAACTAGAGGGGTATGGGCATACTTGAATAAAAATATCGAATATCCAAATACTTTTTGAGAAGAAAGTTGTGCCTTAGAGAGATTCTGGGATGAACGCGGGGGGGCTCACTAAGCTCAATCCAAGTGAACATCTCATATACAGTAACTGATTCTGTTAAGAGAAGCAGCTGCCGGCTCTGCGGTTATTATTGCAGGCCCACCCGGTTGTCAGGAAGGGGAGAGCCACACCACATTTCTTGTCTTAATGGGCCCTGATGAGTAATCTGCTAAGTAGAGTGGCACACCCTTGTTCAGTACCAGGGCCCTGGGTTCAATTCCACACCATGGGTAAGATTTGTGTGGTGGTATTTGCTATTTTAAGTTGTGTGTGTTCTCCCTGTGTTCACATGGGTTTCCTGCCACAGTCCAGGGACACAGATCCCAGATCACAGGTAGATGAATTGGCTGCTTCTGGGAAAGCTGGACCTGGTGTGAGTGCGTATCTGTGTGTCCGCCCTGCGTTGGACTGGCATCCCATTCCACATCCCATCCAGGGTGTACCCCTGCCTTGTGCCTGTTGTTTGTCAGGATAGTCTCCAGCTCCCCAGCAACCCTGAATTGTACAGAGCATTTAGAAAATGGATGGACAGATACTAATGTCTTTCTGAAACCTTCCTTTTTCTCCTTCTTTTTGACAGTCGTGAGACTGGGTTAGATTCTTCTTTTGATCAGAAAGTTTGAAGGATCTGGATCAACTGCCTTCAAATGAGCCAAATTGCTTCTAATTATATAAGACATATAAAATTAATAAAAACAGAGTAATAAATAAGAAACAAGATATAAAACATTATTAACAGAATACCTGAACTTGGCACTAGTTTAACTAAAACGTTATACTTTTCTAGGGAAATGGACTAACATTTTACTGAAAAAAGCATACAGCATTAACCCTAACTGTCCAACTGCTACTTTTAAGGAATCAAATGAAGACAATAATTACCCCCATCTTTATTTATTTAATTCCTGGAACAGAAGAAAGGGTACATTAATTTCACTGTATAAACAACAAAGAAAACACCATTCAGGAGGAAAACCTCTAACAATAAGTCTCAAGTTGTGTGGGAGTTTTGTTGAACTACAGAATAACTCAGACATTGATGTTCTCTCTGTGTTCCAACTTATAACCACTGTTGCTCAAAAACAGAATCAGCTGAAAGTAACTGGATATTATGTCAAAGAATATTTATACAGCTGTTGTAGTGTCAAACATTCATTGAAACTGCTTCCTCTCACAGATTCTGGGATATTTCATGGTGCAGGGGGCATCGTGCCAGTTGTTGAGGGGGTCAGTGTGAGGTTTGAGGTGAGCACAGTCCTCTCCTTTAATATCTTGAACTTTCCAGTCATCAGGCTCGTGAGTGAACCAGAAACTGAAAAAGAGCACATTTTCCTAGATCAACCCCACTTAATCACAGACACTTGGATAGAGTTAAACCCTAACCCTTATGAACTAAGGGCAAAGGGCAGCCAACATTCCAGTAAAATCAAAATTGTTCTATTTTGCCATTTTTATCAGATTGCAGGATTAGAAAGTATGTGCTGGGGCAAGAAGCAGGATATTAGATCATTTTTCCCATGACACGAACCCATGTTTCCCAGCTGGAGGGGTCAAGACCCCCAGCATTAAAAGCAATCAGCCAGGCTTGGTTTTTTGTCATCACTTATTTTGTGATGGTCAGCAGAAAAGGGGTTTTCCTTGGTCTTTCGCTGTCCAATTTTCGACTTCCTCCTCATTAACTGCATCGACTCACATCACTGTGAATCTGCAGCCTCTGGGGTATGTAAAATTTGATTTACTGCACAGTACGCAAGGTTTTAGTACCATAGAGTACAAGCAAGACAATCTGAAATCAAAGATATAAAGGGACTTTCTGTGATACAAGGGAGGAATAAATTGATGTCTGTATTTAAAAAGCTAAAAGAAATGCACAATATCAATGACATCACAAAATTCAGAGATCACTGTGATGATACAACACCCAGAAATGAAGGACTTCTATTTAATATACAGTATATTTTGAAGCAGAAGTTAATTCCACATTGTAAAGTAAAAAATAAAAAATACAAACAGTTTTCAGTTAGTTCATATTACTTCAGAAAATAGATGACAATATTCTGTACTTGAGATTATTTTAGGTAAATCTTAGACAAGGATAGACACGTGTAAAGAATGACTAGTTTTTCCGTGTGATCTGAATCGAAAAGAAGTAATTCCCTCTTCTTATAACGACATGGCTCGATCATGACGGAGTGATTGCTCGTCTGAGTCAGTTTTCCCATCGTCTGCCTGAAGATTTCCAGCCTCCTCTGGGCTTTATAACCAGCCAACATTACAGTTGGTTCTTTCCCCTTTCCAAGGTAGGGAGCAGGGAGACAGAACTTTATCCTGACTGGAAGTAGCAGTCTAAACTTTAAGTTGATCCCATTTGGGCAGCCCACTCTTAGTACCTCTTCTTTACCTTACCAGCGGCCTGACAACAACTACTTTTCTTCTCAAGGTATCAGTCCACTATAAAGTCTAGCGCCTAAGCAGGGGGCGTTAGGACGACCTCTCTTACAGCGCTGCCGTCTCTTTAACCCTATGATTTTCGAGTCAGGCAGCCATCAGCTGTAGGAATCTTGTGTTCTCGCTCCGATTCACACATCTTTCTTTCATGTGGTGAATTATTTAAATTACAGCTGCAGCGCTGTCTACTTTCACAGGAGAAAAGTGCGCACAGAGCTTTACTCAGGCCCATTTCTCAGCTCTCACTAACAAACTTTTTACTCGGAATTGCTTGTAATACGCCGATCGCTGTACGCTTGCGCATTGCATGGCTTTACGGGAGGAATGTGTGCTCGTCTTCTGATCACACGGACTCTCTCACTCTCTCTGTACGCGCAGTTTCTTAATGTGACCCACTTGTTCGACTCACACGTGCGTTCCTGTGTGGTCGCCCTGCGCTTGTACTCATCTTCATCCTTCTTCCGTCATCACGGCGCGCACCTCGCAAGCCCCATTAACCGGCTACATTGATCTTCTTCCGACAAATCTGCGTTATGAGTAAGTAGCACATTAAAATGGATGTTTTTATTTCAAATTGTCAGGGGATATCGTTCCCAATTTCAAGAACTACAAACTCAAATAGCATAGATTGAAGAAGAAACTGGTCAAGGCATACAATGTGATCGTGCAACTATGTGGGTCCTAATGCCCCAGTATAGTGATGGGGACACTTTAGAGTAAACAGGTGCCGTCCTTCGGATGAGACGTAAAACCGAGGTCCTGACTCTCTGTGGTCATTAAAAATCCCAGGGTGTTTCTCAATAAGAGTAGAGGTGTTACCCTGGCATCCTGGCCAAGATTCCCCCTGGTCTTTACCAATCATGGCCTCCTAATAATCCCCATCTATGAATTGGCGTCATTGCTCTGCTCTCCTCCCCACTGATAGCTGGTGTGTGGGGAGCGTTCTGGTGCTCTATGGCTGCTATTGCATCATCCAGGTGGATGCTGCACATTGGTGGTGGTGGAGAGGAGTCCCCATTCCCTGTAAAGCACTTTGAGTGGAGTGTCCAGAAAGGCACTATATAAGAGTAAGCAATTATTATACAGTATACGTTATAGCTTAGAGTAGCAGTGTGACATGGTGGCAAAGTGATCAGCATTGCCGACTCATCTCGCTGGGGCCCTGGGTTCAATTCCTGACCCGGGGTGCTGTCTGTGTGGAGTTTGTATGTTCTCCCTGTGTTTGTGTGGGTTTCCCCCATGTGTTTCAGTTTTCTCACACAGTCCAAACACATGCTGGTTGTTGTAACTGGATTCTGGAAGAATTGTCCCAGGCATGAGTGTGTTAGTGTCTGTGTCTGCGTGTGTCCTCTGATGGACTGGTGTACACCATTTTGCACACATTGCTTGCCGGATAGGCTCTGGCTCCCCCGCAAACCTGTTTTGGATAAAGCAGTTAAAAGTTGGATGGAGGGATACGTAGTAGCAAGCGATGACACTACAGACCACTTCTAAGCAACATTAACTCCCGGACCAAACTAAGATGTCTCTACCTTTGTGTCAGTGGTGACCCATCCTCCCAGCGCCAGTCTCCTTCTACCGTCTGGTCAGTAAGTCCAATCCAGGAATAGCCATTGGCAAAACGCTTGGTCAGAAATTCCTGAAGGCAGACAAGACACTTGATTTATGTATTGGAAAAACTGGAACCGCAGATGATGTTTCTAGCCTTACCGTTCAGACATTGGAAGTGTTAGATGTTAAAATGCGTACATCTGCCTCACTACGAGAGGATTAAAGGTTGTGCCCACCTGTCTCTAGCATCTAAACTACACACTGCCACAGTGTCTGCACAAATGTAGCATCAGGTGCCTAGTATGGCAACATGTTGTGTGATATTGATTGAGATGATTCTTGATGGAAATTTTGTTTATAAAAGGAAATACAATTTACAATACATTCTCAATTTCCAATAAAAATTGAATTAAAAAAAACAATTCCCATATTTCCATTATATTGTCATTTCCCATCTTCCTGACTTATTCTAACACACTCTTTTGCTACAGGCCTGGTTTAACAGTACAAAAGACCTATCGCCATTATGTGCAATCAACATAAAACACATTGTTTTCCCTGCGGTTTCACCAGTATTTCATTAAATGTGGGTGTGAGCTCCCCTGTAGCCCATCGGATTGCAATGTCTCTCCCAGTGATGGCAGCAGGAGCAGAGCAGAATATTTCAGAGCTTAAAACATGCCTGAGGTCAGCCATGGCACAAGAGAGTCTCAGTGGACTGGCCATCACGAGCAACAGTCCCACAGTGGGTCAACTACTCATGAGGATGTACAGTGACTGATGTACAGTTTAGCCCACACTGAGGGGCTAAAAGGACAAAATGTGGTCTGTCTTCAGCACAGAAGACTTCTAGAGTAATTGACTCAAGTACTCTGAAAGCACGAGGGCACAGACAAAGTCACCTTCAGTGTCAAGAGTGAAATGTGAACCAGGGAATGGAAACTAATAGAAACTAAGAAAGTGTGTTTTTAAAACTGAAAATAGGAGGCACTTCTTTACACAAAGGATTGTGGGAGTCTGGAAAGGCCCAGCTGAGCAGTTGAAGCTGATGGCCTGTTTGGGGTTTTCAAGAGAAGGCTGTATGAGATTCTCTGATCAATTGGCTCCTGGAAACCATACAAGCCAGGTTAGCTGCTTGCCCTTTGCTCTGTTGTTCCCTTTGGAACACTGCAATGCAAGTAAAAGAAGCAAGACTGAGGAAGGCCGCCGATGGTGTGACACTCTGTCCGACCTGCTGTAACTGAGTCTCTATAATCACTAGCTGGCTTCCCATCCTAGAGCAGTTGATCCTGCTTTCTGGCCAGGTCATTGTATCCTCGGCAGTGGAAAAGAAGTAGCAGGAATTCATGAAGGATGTCCATCCTTTCGGACAACAACGGCATAACTGGGCTGAAAAGGAATGAAACAGAACAGTTAGGTTCTCAGTACTCTGTCACTACGATTGTGGGAGTCTGGTACAACCTACCCAGGTATGATATTTAAGATGATACCTGTCTTCTCTCAAGAAATAGCTTTATTAAAGCTCTTTACACAAAGAGTTATGGGAGTGTGGAACAAGCTACCCAATCATGTTGTTGAAGTCGCCACCCTGGCTTCCTTCACGAAGCAGCAAGATTAGGTTCTCCAATTAGGACAGGAGACGTGTCTTTACACAAAGAGTTGTGGGAGTATGGAACAAGCTACACAATCCTTTGAAACCTTTCTTAGAATCTTGTGTTATGTCTTCCTTATTACAAAAAAGCTCTGTATAGTCAATCTTGTCCTGTGCATGCCTTAAAAGATTGAATTTACAGTAAATTGAATAGCCCTGTGTGATCAGTCTAGAAAGTCAGATGTTCAGAGTGAAAAGTAATGCCAAATGATGGGACATCCAATGTGGATGAAGTGCTCTGTTATATGCAATTAAATTGTCTTAATTTAAAACAGTGATAACATAAAAAAAATTTAAGCAAGCCAGTTACTACACCTGTACTTTTCTCACTACAACAGCTCCACACTCTGCACTTTCTAATAAAAGTCAATACACTGTCTAAAAAGAACATGGGATTCTTACATTCCATATCTCTCAATTTCTCCTCCAGATCATTGTGGCGCTTCTTCAGTTCCAGGAAGGCTGACACAGCCACTGTGAGGTTGTTCTTTAGCTCCGATTCTAAGTTAGAGGTGGTTCTGAAGTCGGGTTCTTCAGAGGAGAGATTCTGCTGAAGAGCTGCGTATCGCTCGTCTTTCTCCCGGGACATTCGGTAAACTGGGAATGAAACAAAAAGACAAGGAAAGCAAAATGCAGTGAAATAAGAACAAGAAGTGAAGGGGGCTATTTGAATATATGATGTAAAAACCTTGTCATTACAGGGGTAGAGAAAGTTCTGAACAATCTGAATAAGCAACACTTCACTTTCCCTGCGCTTTCTCTGTGTTCCCACACCTGCCTGCTCGCAGTTAGTTCAGTTATTGAGTAAATCCCTCCGACTCACAAACACCTCCTCACTGCACCAGGCTAATGCTAGTTTTCCAAGACACCAATTCGAGTAGAAGCACAGTCACAATTAAATATCTAGCACACAAAGATTTACACCACTGCAAATGTAAAACAGAGCATATAAGGACCTACTGTATAGGTGCTGCTAAATCACCTTTTCATCTGTGTGGTGATTAAAAATCGAGAAATGTATCAATCCTCCTGTTTCCCACACACTTTGCAGACACTCTTTCCTCTTGAAATTAATTTAAGAAGGAGACATCAGAACAAAGTAGAGGTTCAGATTCCAAATTACTTTTTAATCTCTTTATTAAATTGGTGATTTATTCAAAGAATGTAGTTCCATGCATACAGATGAATTCTGTATTTTCAAAGGTCGAAGGCCACCCACACATAGTCGAAGGCCGAAGCTCAAAGGTAACATGCACTGGTACATCTGTTATACTTACAGAAAACGCCAAAGATTATGTATCCGATCAGCAGGAGGCAGCAGAGAACTGTCATGCACATGCAGGCCTGCTGAGGAACTCTCATTTTGGGGTACACAGAAAAAGCACTCCCTGAAAATTTTAAAGAGAAATTTTGATCTGAAGTATTTTGGACAACAGATGGCTGCCAGTGTTCACGTAGCGGGTTGTTTCAAAAACTGAAGGCAATTCTTTGTAAATCACCCATTTCTTTTACAACACCTGCACTCCTGGAAATTGCAAGTGTCTTCTCATCACATTGGTAGGAGCTCTGATACTCATGTGTGCTAGAACTCATGACCGTGGAGAGAATGTTTCAGAGGCCCAGAAAGGTGAAGGTCAGATGAGGCAAGATTCAAACTGAAGAGATGTGTCAGAATTTCATAACATCATCTGTTCATAGTGTCGATGGACGCCAGCTTCCCTCTGGACACGCTTTGGTTACATTTATGAATGTAGCTTTTTTGGGGGGATGACTTCAGACTTCACCATGTAAAGAACCTTTAGGTAGTGTTTTTGTCTGACTTCATTAAAAACAATGCTACACCCATCTCCTAAACTGGAATATGTGAGTGATTAAAGTGGAGCCTTTGAGGTTTCCTGTAAAGTAAAAAAACTGACCTTCATTCTCCTGGATTGGGAGGTAACAAGAAATAGGATACAAGGTGCAATTGCAGTACCTCACAGCCAGGAAGAATGTTCGTTTGGTATAAAGTATAAAGCCCTGGTAGGCAGCATGGTGGTTCAGTGGTTAGTGTTTTTGCCTCATAACGCTGGGGCCTTGGGTTTGATTCTGGGCTTGGGGTGCTATCTGTGTGGACTTTGTATGCTCTTCCCATCTTGGTATGGTTTTCCTCTGGGTGCCCAGGTTTCTTCCCACAGTCTGAAGATATACTGGTAGGTTAATTGACATCTGGGAAAACTGGCCCTGGTGTGAGTGTGTGCTCTGAGATAGACTGGCGTCCTGTCCACTGTGTACCCAGCCTTGTGCCTGTTGCTGGATAGGAAAGACACTGGCTCCCCCATGGCTCTGTACTGGATAAAGTGGTTAGATGATGGATGGATGGATAAGGTACTTGTATAGGTTGACATGCTGACGGTCATTAAAAGCCTTTTAAAATTAATAACCCACAGAAATAGCCAATGCCTCAGATACCCTAATCATGCCTGCTCTGCACATTTTATAAAAAGGAATGATGCTGGCACTTACTACTGCTTTGGGAAACAGAGAGGGGAAGTTAAGACAAGGCTTGGTGAATATGTTCTTGATAATTCATCATAAATTTAGTCCTATTCATATAACCGCAAGGCATTTGAGGAAATGAAACCACAGCTTAGTGAAGAAAGGAAACTAAAGTAACAGTGTTAAAGAAGAATACATTTTGGTGTCATACATTTTCAGGCATAAGAACAGGGTTTATCATTTGACAGTGTTTAAAATCCATTCATGTTCCAACGGCTTTATCCAATACAGGGCTTCAGGGGAGCCAATCATTTCAGTTCAGTTGATTGTCATCTGCACAAGTGCAATGGAATGATTATTTGCAATACTAAGACATTAAAGGAATCACCAAAAACATAAACATAGAGCATCCGCAGCAGCAACAAGTTAAATAACATATGACTTAAAAAAAACATCAGTATGAGCCAGTGGTGGGGGTAGAGTTCAGTAATCTGACAGCTTGTGGGAAGAAACTGTCTCTGAATCTGGACGTTTGTGCCTTTATGCTCCTATAACACTTACCAGAGGGAAGGGGGAAGAAAAATGAGAAACCAGGATGACTGGTATTCTTAGTGATACTTCCAGTCTTCCTGAGACAGCGAGTTGTAAAAATGCCCGAAACAGAGGGGAGCTGTACTCCAATGATGGACAGGGCTGACCTGATCACCCCTTGTAATGCCTTCCGGTCAGACAACGAGCTGCTGCCAAAACACACTACCAGTACCCTACTTACCAGTACCAATTACCCTACCAGTACTGTATGCCTTTGTGGGAGGAAGTCAGAGCCCCTGGCTGAAACCCACAAACACAGGGTACACATACAGTACGTACTCCACACAGATAGCAACCCCAGTCTGGAACTGAAACCAGGACCCGGGTGCTACAAGGCAGCGATGCTTACCTTCAAGCCACCATGCCAGCCAATGTCTAAAATAACAAATACAATGAGTAATAATAAAGTAAAAATGCATGACAAAAACTATTTCAAATGGCAATGCTTAATTTGGGTTAATGAACTAATTAAGTCTCTGTCCTTCCAAGTACCAGGACCATTATAAATTCTATGTGCTCTCTTCAAGTCATTGGACCTGATGATGGCAAATATGCTGAAATTTAAAACAAAGAAATGATAGGACCATTTAAACCAGTGTAATCTGGAATGCTGGAAAGATTGGTGGCTCTCCTATAACCCGACCTGATTTGATTTAAGCATGGCTGTGTCCTTTGCTAATTCTCTGAAACTTGTTCTGTTCTGGGCCTCATAGGAAATGTTTAGTTTCAGTGGTAACTGAGTGGTGGTCCTGTCAGCTGCATGTTAAAGTACAGGCAGCTGCTTTGTAGATCTGTCCATCCATTTTCTAACTTTTCCAGTTCAGGCTTGCAGGGGAGCTGGAGCCTATCCTGGGTACATATGGGCACAAGACAGGATACACCCTCGATGGGACACCAGCCCATCCTAGGGCTGTAGGAAGCACCTGGAGGAAACCCACATGATTGTCAAGCCTCCATATTTTATTAGCTCAGTTGTACTGAAATATTACTGGCTCACTATAGTCCTGGTATTCATCCATCTTCTAACAACTTCTTCCAATTCAGGGTCACAGAGGAGACAGATCCTATCTCAGCAAGCAATGGGCGCAGGGCGGGATACAACCTGGACAGGACACCAGTGTACTGCACAGATACAAACATGCACACACCTACACCAGGGCTAATTTTCTCAGTGGCCAATAAACCATGTCTTTGGACTGCACCCTTTGGAAACCCACACACACACGGAGAAAAGATACAAACTCCACACAGACAGGACCCCAGGCCCAGAATTGAACCCCGGGCAACAGTGCTGTGAGGCATTGATGCTAACTGCTGCACCACCATGCTGCCCTAATATTAATTGAACCGGATTAAATTTTTTAAAAAAAATCTACCACACTTTTATTATTACTCCTATCGATTTGCATGATTGCAAATAGAAAAATAGACTGTACTGACTCGACACAGGAGGATAGTGAGCATGTAGAATTACATTGAATTACATAGAGTGGAATACAGCAGCAATGAAATCAACTGTACACATGTAGTGGAGTCTGAGATCATTCACTACAAAGCAGTTTTGTTCAAGTCATGTTTTGTGTTGGGAGAGCATCTTGGTGACACTGACCCCTGGAAGACATTAACTGGGTACTCTATGATAAGTAGAAAAATGCAATAAGCAGAGACCCAGGCTCTGACGAGTTTTTTGTCTTGTGCTGTTAGGAAACAGAATAGCACACCCCATACCAATTAATCAAGAGCTACTCAACATGCATCCCTTGGAATCCACTGTTGTAGTTCAGGTAACACTTATTTAACAATATTGATCCTTTTCATTTTCAGTTCTAGAGAAATATAGAAGAAACTTATAATATATTAGAAATGAACTACAATAAAGTTTAAAGACATTTTAAATAACATGTTAAATAACCAAAAAGAGCTTACCTGGTTTCTGAGATGTGCGTTTTTGAGGGGCTTGATCTGATAATTTAGAGGAATTCACCATCAACACTGAGGAGTCATCAAAATTCATATACACGTTGGCCATCTCTGTGCACATTGTCCTGCTCAGTTGGGAGCTCAGAAGCACAGATGCACTGAGAGGAGGAAGTGTTGAAATAGATAATAAAGAGATGGGCAGGGTTAACATTCACAGTAAGAGTAAATCAGTGCAGCTCCTAACTTCAGTCATAAAAGTCAAACTGAGAAGAAAGAAAATTAAATAAATGTCATTAACCTAGTTCTTCCAGTTCTATGCAAAAGTATTAAGGACCCTGCAGTTTTCACATCTTAGAGCTTTAAATCTTGTAGTCATGACACTTTGAAGTAGCAATTAATATTTGTTATTAACACAACCTACAGCACACATTCAAAGAAAGAAGTAAATAAATAATTATTATGAAAGAAAAATGGAAAAGTCACCTTTGTTTTCAAATGCTGTGTGGTAAAACTAAATTAATTTAGGTGCAGAAAAGCATGTTAACAAGCCACACAGATAGTTGTGTGGTTTCTGTCTTGAGTGCAATGAGTCATTTACATGATTTCAGTGACTATGATCTCAATGGCCTCTTTGAAAGTTCAGAGGAGATCAATGGCTGAGATTCGAGAAAATGAAACCGACTGAAACCGACTGGCAGTCGGTTTCAGTGCTTTGTTTTGTCATGCTGCCCAGATAATATTCCAGTGCCTAAGAATATATATCCTTTGGATTAACTCCAATGCATCTCGAACATTTTTAACAGCAGTCTGCTTAAATACTATTGCTCCTCTACCATTGAAATCAATAAGGTATTCTACTGTAGGTCTTCTTGAGTCAACATGTAATCTACAAAATCGTACAAAAAAAACCAAAATAAAATATTCTGTGACTACCTTAATTGATTCTTCAGATTCTGACAATTGTTTTGGTAAATCCATCCTTTTTCTTACGCCTTTATCCAGTTCTGGCTCGCAGGGGAGCCAGAGCCTATCCCAGGAAGAAACAGGCACAAAGCAGGATAGACCCTGGATGGGACACCATTCCATAAGGGGACAGAGACACAGACGTGGACATGCACTCACTTCCACCAGGCCCAAATTTTCCAACCGTTGTTTCACTGAATTGTATGTCTCTGGACTGTGAGAGGAAAGTGAAGCACCCAGAGGAAGCTCACACAAACCCAGAGAGAACATACAAACTCCACACAGATAGCCCCTACTGATTAGGAAGATAGAGCTACTAACTGCAGGGCTGTACCAACTGATGTACAGTATAACAGGTCTCAATGGCACTGAGCTTGCTGTAGAAATGATGATACCCCTCTTGAGATCTAGAATATGTAGAAATGAGAAGACCTGGTTTTCAGACGCAGTGGAGTTTGCTGCTGTCCTGACAGTGGCTCTGTATGTGCTCTGAGCCCACACGTGACTATGAATGAATACCAGAAGGGAGAGAGAAAAGTGCTGATGAGACCCCTACACTTTGGATATCACATCCTTACTTTACTATATGAGTACTCTCATATAGTAATCAGGCTGGCCTGATTGTGTTACTCACTGTCTGCTAAGTCATTCTTTCTCATCCTTTTTTTAATTAAAAACATACTTCTGACTCCCAGGAGGAGCAGAGCAGAGCTGCACTCATTACAAATGTATGAAATATGACATTATGATTGAATGGTTTTAAAAATCAGATATTTTAAACATATAGATATATGCAGGGGGACGTGCCATGATGTGACATGAGAGTAACAAGGCAATTCTGGGTCAGCCAGGAAGAGGCTGCAGTAGCACAGACAGGAGAGCACCAGGACCTGGTTCACCACATATGAGAACAGAATGCCATTTACTACTCATGGATAATAAACACTGAACTGCAAACAAATTATATTTCAAATAAAAGCTTCATTTTCAGCATAGTTATAAGAGAGTGTTTTCAATTCAATCAAAACCTTATTAATTGGTGGCATGTTAATGAAAGTACACTAATAATGAACTACTGTGGACAGTTTAGCTGCACAGTGGTGGTTCCAAAATTACAGATCTCACAAAAAAAATTATTTGTCTTAAAAAGGGTTATACAAAAATTAGTACAGGTAGTATTACAAAATTACCAGATCATACACCATCTTTGTTCCCTTCTTCACCCTTAAACATCTCTAAAACCAATTGTGTATTTAGAGATTCATTGTTCTTAAAAACAAAAAAAACTTGTTAACATCTCTTCCTCTCACAGATTCTGTGATATTTCTTGGTGCAGGGGGCATCGTGCCAGTTGTTGAGGGGGTGAGTCAGAGGCTTGAGGTGAGCACAGTCCTCTCCTTTCCGATCTTCACCTTTCCAGTCATCAGGCTCATGAGAAAACCAGAATCTGAAAAAGAGACAGCAAGAAGGACTTGACTTGCAAAATGGGAAACTCTTTGCACAATGACTGATGATGAGAATAACAGCTGTTTCTGATAAGCTTATTGAAAGGGGAGTTCATGAAAGGGAAAACATTTGAACGTACAAAAAAAGGAAATCAAGAAGGGATACAGCATCCTCATGTGTAGTATTTTTACTGTGAAGCGCTTTGAGAAGCCATTTTTAACGGTGATTTATTATTATTATACAATTTGCTTGCACGCTGATGCAGTTCGCGAATCTAGCCACACTGCAGGGATAGCATGGTGACACAGTAGCTAGTATTGCTGCCTCACTGCGCTGGGGTTCAGTTCTGGACCTGCCCTGTGTGTTCTTGCCCTGTTTGTGTGGGTGTCCTCTAGGTGCTCTGGTTTCTGGTTTCACGGTCCATAGACATGCTGGATGGTTAATTGGCTTCTGGGAAAACTGGCCCTGTTATGAGAGTGTGTGTTTGTGTCTGTGCGGCTGCCCTGTGATGGACTGGCTTCCCAACCACAGTGTATCCTGCCTTGTGACCGGTGTTTGCAGTCAGACTCCAGGTCCCCTGCGACCCTCCATTGGATAAAGCAGATAGAAAATGAATGGTTGGAAACCAGGACATGTTTATGCTTTATACCATAATAATATATTAAGATTACCATATTGCAACACAGTAATGACTTTGAAGCATGAAAATGGCAAGAATTTCAGTCACTGCTTGGAGTGTGTTCTCCTTGTAGAATAACCAGTTTCATTTCCCCTGCTGTTCTATTGTGAAAGATGTTTAACAAAACTTCCACTGCGATTCCTCTGACTTTACAAACAGTTTCCATAACTTTTTTGGGCCATTGACGCATTTTGTAAAATGGGTTGAGATGTTTTGGCTCCTCCTGACTGCTGAATGTTCGACACCAGAAGCCTGCCTCACTTTATAAGAATCTGATTCTCAGATCTAGGTCCAGACTGTAGGAGGCATAGGCAGGCACCCCAAAGACATCGGGTTCCACTGTGTTGGTGAGTGTTATCCTGAAGGGGAATGATGCCTGCATGCTATAAACCTCACATATTCTTTAATTGCTTGTGCATAAAACCTCCCCCTGACAGTGTTGTTCAGATGGAAGTAATCAATGAAGAGTAATTCCTGCCAGTCTATGATGATGGTCTCTGCTGTATAGTATTTTAAATCTGCAGGAATCACTTCTTTTCAGGCCGGGACACAAGTGATCTCACTGCACACAGTACGCTAGGACCAGATTGGGGACACAGGCTTTGTCTTTCATTACTGTGCCTCCCCTTCAATGCGGCAACACTGTTAACATTGGCAACATGTCAATTTCAATTTATCATTCAGCACTGATGAAAATAAGTTTATGTAGTGTCACTAAATTTGTTTAGGTCAGTCTTTTATCCTGAATACTGGACTAGGCCATAGATCAGATCACCAAACTCAGATTCGGAGAGCCTTACTTGCATGACTAATGAGTTACAGAGTAACCATGGCAGGAACTAGTAACAAGTTTAAATTAAAACACAATTAAAAACACATGTTGTGGCAGGCTGGAGTAGTGAGGAACTGTAATATTAGTGAATCTGACACTAGAGGCTGCTAAAGGCCTCTATCTCTTGAAAATAATTATCACTGGGAGTGCATTAGATGCTGTATTGTTGGTTAAGGTTTAGAATGTCGTGTCAAAGTGTTAAAAGGGGCCTGCCCACTTGGTGTCAGGGGTGGTTAGTGAGATAATAAACAGTCCCCCTGACTGTACAGAGTTTCTGAAGTAGAGGAGCAAGATTCTCTGACACATTTTTTTGTTTAGAAGACCTGCAAAAACCTAGTAATAAAGCCTCCTGCACTTTGAACTATGGTCCTTGTGAATCAGGGTGAGGTCTGTCACACTGAATTGAGTTGCAAAAGCCTTCTTGAGAAAAGTCATCAGCATTCAACCTTGAAACAAATTCCAGGTACAAACCTGAACAAGAAACCCAGGTTTCTAAATGGAAGCCATGCTTGATTACAGTTGGGTTTCTCATCCATTATCTCACCCAATATGTGATGCCCATTAACTTGTTTATGAAATAATTTACAAGATTTTCTGTGGGATAAAACTCAGAACACACTGGACAGTGATCACTCCTTTCCCACATTCATATATGGACAACGACGTGAGTATTCTCATCAAAATCTTTTCCACACAGAATTACTCATTGTGCCTAACGTACTTCGGTACTGTTCTGTGCCATATTAAGGTGAGGTCTGGGTGGCTGAGGAAACATTTTTGAGTTCTAGAAGCAATCAGAGATTATAACACAGGAAGTAAGCGGAATGTTATTCACACTTTAGGAGCAAGGATTAAATTAAGCTTGTACAATGAGGTATCACTGTACAGTTGTATGCAAACATCTGGGCACCCCTGGTCAAATTGCATTTTTCATTAAATCTCTTAGTGAAATGAAGTTCAAACAACTTCTAAAGGGTAAAAACTTAAACATGACAGATTTCTACACATTTTAAAGCATAATTATTATTTATTGGCCAAATTTAACAGATTGAAAAAGACAAAACAGTGAAAGTGTAATGTGCACAAGTTTGCCCAGAGGCTGCCCAAACATTTGCATACAATGTATTTCTCCTTTGGGATACTCAGCATTACTTCAAATATTACTCCTTCCTTGTTTGTGTCAGGAAATTCCTATTTAAAATGGATGTCCTTACCTTTGTGTAGGGTGCAGCCCATTGATCCAGCGCCAGTCTCCTTCTACAGCTAGGTCACTAAGGCCAATCCATGTATGACTGCTGCCAGAAGACTTTGTTAGAAACTCCTGAAGTCAAAGAATATAATGTCGTGAACTGTATATCTGTCAAATGGCACATGAACTGGGAATTGACAGCAGGCAATTCGAATTTGAAAGAAATTAGAAATTAAACATAGTTGTCGTCTCTTAATTCTGGTGACAGTGGTGACAATTCTGCCACTTGATCTAGAGACAATCTAAACTTGTATTTCAAATGATTTTCTAGTGCACATCTGCACACAGCTGTCGGGCATGAGCAGCATAAATCTGAAGGAGATAACCTTCTGAAAGTAAACTGCACACACCCCTTTTTTATAGCAATAGTATTCTACTACATAGCTTTTCTCAGAACCATTCACAGCATGATAAAAGTTTAATTGATTTGAGTTGAAGCCCGACAAGGAAAATAAGAGCTAAATCAATGACAGCAGTTGGATCCATCATACTAAATGAGTTCTGTAAAGTTGGATAGAACTTTTGTCTGTCTGTGTTAGAAAGCCAACATGACTCAGAAACCAAGTTTCAACAAGGAAAACAAAGCACCCTGTTTTTTTACCTGTTTGAATTTTTAGCACTTAAAAGTGTTATTAAGTACCTCCAGATTGGCTCAGCTGACAGATGCTTGCTTCAAGGATGAAAATGAAAGAAAGCAGACATGGGCTTTGACATGCGGCAGTCTGTCCTACCTGCTCTGTCTGAGTCTCGATCATCACTAGGTGACCTCCCATCCTGGAGCAGTTTGTACTGCTCTCCTCCCAAGTCATTTCATCACTGGAGAGGAAATAGCAGGATGACATGAAGGGCTGCCATCCCAACAAACCACAGGAACATTCCTGGACTGAAAGCAAAAAAAAATCACGATACTTAATGCCAACCTACAGTATAATTGACCTCAGAACAGTTCAGCAGAGTTCCATCTTCTCCATGTGGTTAAAGACTGGTTACTGTGAAGACATGAATTCCTGCTTCTTCCATGCTCAATATCTGGGGTCTAGCAAGTTCTCAAGCAGGAGAGGTGGAAGAAAGACCGGGAATAACTCAAAGGTCGTCCTTCCAGACAGCAGCAGAATGAGGCTTCTAACCAACTTGGTCTCTTGGTCTCTAATCAACTTTGGATCAAGCTCTTGTTTTGTCAAGACACCATGAACAGCATAAGTATTGGGAAAGACATTTCAGGTCTCTTCACCTGAAATGTGTTTCCACCGGACATGACACATGACATGGTTCTAACATGGCCTAACATGTCTGCAAAATAATACTCTGAATGAAAAGAAAAAATGATTTCTAACGGAAGGGCCACAGTTGCCAGATCAATGGCAGAGAACACTGTGCTGTAGGAGACACTGTCATTTGCATTTGTGGATTTAGGACAAGATTAAATGGAGGTCCCGACAACTTGGTCGTAACGGATCAAGAAAAGAAAAGGAGCAAGGGTGTGAATTGCATTGCCCTGGCTAAATGTAATTAATCTCTAAGGAAAATCAGGTTTAGATACAAGTTCTGCTTCACAGCATTAGAAAAGAAAGGTGTGAAATTGTTTTACCAGTGGAATTAAGGGTGAGATTTAGGTAGGCCAGGATACAAACCCAGAGTGAGTTTAGCCAGTTTACCCAACCAACATTCCGGAGCAGTGAATTGGAAGAACCTCTAGTCTGGGGTGGGGAGAGCTCCACCTACAGGTCCACCAACACCATTTACAGCAGCAACCGCATCTTAGAGGTCTCCCTTTTCCAGTACTGACGAGACCCAGTCTGGATTAGCTTCTGATATCTGGCGAGATCTGGCTGGAATGTGTTACTCTGCTGAATAAGACTGACCAGTGCCCAATCCTCACCTTCCACTTTCCTTGTTTTATTTAGAAGGTCACTGTAGTTCTTCTGTAACATCAGGAGGGCTGACAAAACAGCAGTATAGTTGTCCTTTAGATCAGCAAAATCTGTTTCCACAGAGGAGAGATTCAGTAGGATAGCTGCATGTCTCGTGTCTTTTTCCTCGGTAATTTGGTAAACTGTGAACAAATAAAAAAAGAATTGTAGAAAGTGATCCAAGCACCCATTTTGAATGAAAGCTGCCTTTGACTGCAAAATAGTGATGATGCAGCTGAGAGTCTGAATGTTAAAAGACAGGCACAGGCTTTTCAAGTGCATGTTTCTCAGACAAACTTTTGCTTTACTTCTAGGGCTCCATGCATAAAATGAACAGGTAGATTTCCCTGTTTCTTATCATTCCCCACAACATGGAACCCAATAGGAAACTATCCCATGAAGATTTAGGATCACTTTTCTCCTTTGGGATTCTCACCATTCCTCAAAATATTATGGGTTCCTTGTTTGTTTCCGGAAATTCCTCATAAGAACAGCACAGCTGGCTGGCAGGAATGGATTTAAATTACTTCCTCCTTAATAAGCTTCAGAGCATTTTCACAGTTTATACTGCTGTACTGGCCTCAGGACCTGACTAGCTGGCACACCTGCAATACTCACAGAAAACACTGAAGATTGCGTATCCACCCAGCAGGAGGCAGCAGAGAACAGTGAGGCACACACAAGCCTGCCGCTGACATCTTATTTTGGAGGTAGCTGAGGAGGCGTCCTCTGGAAGTTTCAAGGTGAAAGTTTGTTAGGAAACATTTCAATATGATCCTTTTGGGCTCAACTGATTTCAGGGCAACACAGTGGTGTAGTAGTTAGCACTGCTGCCTTGCAGCACAGGGGCCCTGGTGTCAACTGCTGGGCTGCCATCTGCGTGGAGTTTGTGTGTTCGCTCCATGTTCATGTGGGCTTCCTCCAGGTGCACTGTTTGCTGCCACATTCCAAAGACATACAGTACTGGTAGATTAATTGGCTTCTGTGAAAAGTGGCCCTGGTGTGAGTGTGTTCTTCTTCTCTGTGTGTATCAGTCTGCCCTCTGATTGACTGGCGTCCTGTCCAGGGTATACCCTGTCTTGCACCAGTTGCTTGCCAAGATAGGCTCCAGCTCCCCCACAGAAGTGAATTGGATAAAGCAGTTAGAAATGGATGGATATTTTGAGACCTTTGGCAAACACTGACTTCCCCTGAAAATAGCAACATTAATGCCATGATGTTAGAGGGGCCACCCATAGAACACAAAAAAGGGAAGTTCAGTATGATTTTCATCTTTTGCTGACTTTTAGATTTTTTTTTTACTTTAATGAGCAGAGGCCCTTTGTCCCATTTAACCCATTAGGAAGGTAGTGATAGTTAATTGATCCCAGGATCTCATCCAGCCTTTTCCAGCCTGTTCGTGTTTTACTGTTCAGACACCCAGAATCCTTTAACAATAAAATAAATGCCTTTTTAATGCGCTTCTGCATAGTTTCCACTTGCATCAAGCCTGTGTTTCAGTGTTGATCCTGAAGAACTCCATAAGGTTGTCTTTCTCATTGCCTTTGAGGATTTCCAGTACTTGAGTCAGGTTCCCTCACAGTCCTGAGATATAACTAGTGCAATTTTTTGAAAGTTAACGAACGTTCCGGAAGAGGTCAAATTGCAATCTCACACTTCTGCTCGCCTACATACAGTGTAAATACTCGCAGGCTATCCACAGTTCTGTGCTCATACCTCCCCCACCCAGCAGCACCCTTGTAGCTGCCCCAGGTTCACGACTGGACTACTGAAAAGTACAATTGGAAGAAATATCATCAGGCCCTGGAGATTTCTTCATCTTCATCCTCTATGTTCTTTGGAATCTGTAATAGCAGCATATCTTTAAACTGTTATACCAACTTCATTTCTATTCTGTTCCGTTCCTCTTCTATTCAGCTCCATATCATCCTTTCAAAGTCTGCCATTCTGAAATTGTAATCTTATGATTTGGACTCAGCCTATTCAGTTTCAAAATGAGCAGTATTTAAAACCCTTCAATAAAGCTATAATGATCATATAACCAGCCATTTGATAATAGCTTTCCAGTGTTTTCATATCTATCTGACTAATGTTGAGCCTACAACTGAGAGAACTGGGTAACATTGAGGGAGGGTTCACATTTCCTTGTAGTGGCCTTAAAAAGAAACAATTAAACACAACGTTTTGGCCGTGGAGCCTTCTTCAGGTGTGAGGGTTTTTTCACACCTGAAGAAAGCTCCATGACCAAAACGTTGTGTTTTCAATCTTCTCTTTTCAGCATGGAATAAACATTTTCCTTGTTCCTTTGCAGCCCACTCATGCTGACGCAGCTACCCACCTGAATTATTTGCATTAACTATAGTAAATTTCTTTGTGGAATTAACCTCTCTTTGATTGCTTTACAACTCACTGCTCTGAATCACAATAATCCAGTTTGCTCTCAAAACTGCATTCCTTGTAATCATATTCTGTACAATGGAAAACCAACTATACAAACACAAATGTCATGTTGTGCCTACAGTATATAAAGCATTTACCCCTCTATATATATACAGTACACCCTACAGAGATGATGAGTGCTCATCAAAGAGCACAAAATCAACACCTATGATTTTATTTGAACATGCCAATAGTAGTAAAATAGAAAATCTTTCCACTATCAAATAGTTTTTATGCTCTTCTCTCACAATCCACCGTATGCTGAAAATGACAGCAGTGAACACTGTTTCCCATGTATAAACTACACCACCTTACTGTATATCTGCCTGATTAAACTGTTAAAACACTAATCAACAATCTGCGATAAATTAATTAATCTTTGCAAGTTATCTGTTAACTGGAGCAGCAGTTGAATTGAATGTGAATTTCATGATCTAAGATGTATGCAGTAATACAAATACAAAATGTTACCATATGTTGAGTCATTTTGGAGTTCTAGTTGACAGCTTACCTGTATTTTGGAGTACAGGGTTTGGTTGGTGTGGATCTCTTGAAGTATTATAATAGGTCTTGAATTGAGTGCAGTCTTCTGTGTTCATGTAAATATTGTCAGTCTCCATTGTCAAAAAGAGCTGTGGGTTCAGGGTAACAAAATGTATAAAAGAGGAAGTGTTGAAATATTTTCCACTTATAGATTGTAAGTAAAGAGGCAGGGCCAGAATGTGCATTAGCCTATCGGCAGATTGAGGAGCATCTGCTGCTACACTCCTTTTTAGGATCAAGTGAATGTGAGAAACACTGGTACAGTATATTACAAAAGCAAATGTAAAGAATAGTTTGGGAGAATTTCAGGTGAGACAGTAAAAGCAGGTTCTGTATGGAATTAACTGGAAAATAGAATAATTCAAGTGCTTAACAATACGTGGATGCTATTAACCATCTAAGGACATGCACAAACACAAGTATCAATATAACACAAATTGTATAAGCAATGTATTTTTTTTTTCACACAAAAGTATTGTTATAGATGGGGCTTTACAAAACTAGAGAAAATCAGGAAATTGACCAAGTGAGTCCATCAATAAGTTAAATAATCATAACACACAACTTGTAAAGTGTTTGCTAATACACCCAATCTGTTGGTTTAATTATAGGCAGAGGCACATTAAATATTTGTTCTCTGGAACAGTTTTGGTGAAAAGAATAATAATTCAGGCGCACTTGGTTAAACAAATATTTATTAGCAATGACAATGAAACCCACTACACTACACACAACAAATATACAGCATACAAGTTTCTCTATAGATAGTACTAGTTTATAGACAAGGAATCCCATAGGCAAAATGTCCTAACCAAACAGAAGAACCCCGGACTATTGCCAAGTATTCAACTCTTAATGTCTATATAGACCAGAATAAAGTAAAGCTGCAGTCTAAACTAAATAGAATTCAACCTGTAGCTAAATCTCTATCTGTCTCCCTGTGCAAACCCAGATGTCACAAAAATGGGAACCTATCTCCCTATTGTACAAATGCTCCCACTAACCAGGAGGACGTTTTTAACTGAGGGATTCTTCACTAAGGAAATCAGAGTTCCCTAACAACACAGAACAGCAGGCTTAACAGAGTTCAGATATTTAGCTTCAAACTGATATTTTTGGATAATGTGGATAAGGACCTTTCGCCTGGCACACATTTTATGTTCTGTCCTCCTGTCTCCCCTCTCTCTTCATGTTCTGTGCTGATCTCTGTCTTTTATCCTTCACTTTTGACACTTAATCGTTTACCCAGAACTCAATTAACTAAGGCAGTGGTTCTCAAACTTTTTGGACCAACTACCACCCCTGAAACCAAAGCATCCAAGTACCACCTACAAGTCATCTTCTCATAGGAACCCCAGAAAATTCAGTGACCAACATGAGCGTGCGCACACACTCATATACACATATAATAAAAATAGCACTGAGAACTTACCATTTCAGTGAGAGGGGTGAGTGTGCTTAGGCGAGCAAAGCAGATTTGAATTCATTGGTTGAGCCTTGATACAATTCACAACTTTGACAGCAGAGTCTAACAGATTTTAAATCCTCAGGCATTTTCTTGATGGCCAAGGCCTCGCGGTGGATGCTGCAGTGCGTCCACTTCATATCTGGAGCAACCTCTCTGATCTGTGCAACTACACCGCTGTGTCTGCCTGTTATCGCTCTAGCACCGTCTGTACAAACTAAGAGGCATTTTTTCCAGTCAATGCCAGTCTCTTTGATAAATTCATCCAGAAGCTGAAATTTATTAAAATAGAAAATATGAAAACCCCTCCCAATTTTTCAGTGCACACAACAAATTTCCAGGGTCATCTGGTGTACCACCTGGGGGTGCTCTGTGTACCATCAGTGGTACGCGTATCGCAGTTTGAGAACCACGGAACTAATGTAAACCAGAAGATTTTTTTGATCCGTGTGTGTCTCCAAGCTCAACTAAGTAAACATACCCTGGTTTGAAACTCTAGGAAGGGAAATGTTGACACTAGTTAGGTGTACATTCTTTGAGACACTTCCATAGTCACCTGTCATAGGCAAAAAATGAGAGGAGGGCTGGAATGGAAGGATGTGGAAAAAGGCGGAACTGGAGCTGGCAAAGGAAGGAGGCTTGGCTATGGATGTCCAAAAACAGCTGGAAAGAGCATCGGACACTGGAGGAGCCATTGACTGAGCTAAGGACTCCGGAAACTGTTTTGGAGTACATCTTATCAGACCCTTCTCAAAGCCACACAACATTGGTAAATCAAGCTGGAGATTTCTTAACTGCAATAAGGAAAAGACAGACATAGCTAGCAGCTGGTCTCTCACTCACTTCCTCAAGGACAACAACAGGGTTTTATTTTTGGAGATGAGCAAAAGTTGTATACAAACACACACATTTTTATGATTGGTTAGTAATAGTTTTTGCCATACAGTATATGGTACAAAATCAGACAGTTTAGGTACAGTAGCTTAACTATGGTCATCCTTGGGCAGTCAGCCAAATTCCCTGTTCCCACTTTATGTAGCTAAATCAGACTGTGACAGGGTGCCCATGTTTTTTTTCTTCCCCAAATGAATGTTAAATACTCCAATACTTTCCTGTACCCTCCCAATAGGTGTGTGAGTTTGTATGTGATACATATGAAGTGTGAATGATACATTTTTTTCCCCTAAAATCACTGCAGTATTCCCCGTTGGAGTACGATATTGTGTCGGGCAAGATGGACACCAGTCCCCTTTCTGTTTGTAGTTTCCCACGGGGTCACAGCAGCAGTACTAAAAACACTGTGACCTGTCCCTGATCTTAAAGGGAAAGGTTACTGGTAGGCCATCCATAAATAGCTGATGTATGATTATTTTGATTTTGTTGAAATGTATAAAAACTCTCACATGACTTTGTTAACATTTATAAGTTATTCTGGATTTGTATTAAGTTACTTTATTTGTTTAGAAATTGTCAGCCTCTTTTAAAAGATATGAGCCAGTCCCTTTAAGGAATATGGCCCTGAGGCAGGAGGAGCTACTGTATAAAAGGCACTGAGAGAGCTCAGTAGGGAGATGGTGTCTTGAAGGGACAGTGGGCTGAGAGGAGCTCCTGTGAGGTTTTTTTTTGATGATCACTGTTTGAAGGCAATCAATCCAGTTTTGTTGGCATTTGAAGACTGCTGTTTTGGGAGTGTTGCCAAACCTAGTCGCTTGGCCGATGACAGACACGGGCTACAAAAGTCACACCATTGTTCACAAGACCCTGGCTCTCTGGAGCACACTGCATCAATCCACAGGGAAGACAAACTCATTCCCGTTCAGGGCTGAAAGAGATCCCTCCCGCCTCTCCCATCAGATAAGAGAAATGCCGCAAACGTGAGGAAACAGCAAGGCAGAGGATGCTTCTCCTGGAAAAAGGCGAGACCCCTGAGGACGCAAGGAATAATTTGCATGTCGCCATAACAGCAAACTAAATACAGAGAATTGCGATGTTCCAGAGGATACTAAAGAAATTCAACATATGCTTCTAGAATACAGGTTAAAAATCCTTTATCCGAAATTCTAAAATCCGAAAGTTTTTTGAATGCTGATATGACACGCCACAAATGGAAAATTCCACAAAGTGCGGGATGGTTCCACCAAGGAGAGCTGTTGTGCGCCGCTTTCACCTCCACGTAAAACGCTATGTATGTCTGTAACATGACTAGCGTAATTGTTGCGTTACAAATATAATGCTGACGTTTTCCGTTTTCATTACATTTACCTGTAATCAAATTTAATGTTTTGTTTTTTATACAAAAATATTTATGTACTGTAACCTTTTAATCAAAACACGTCTTCGTAGGTGGATACTGCTAACGTACCTACATCGATGTCTGGGGCTGCATTTATCTTCAAGTTTGTAAGCAGTGATCATGTTTTGTTTTGTTGTACAGTAAGTACAAAATGCTATTTTTACGTGAGATCTGAATTTCACCTCCATGTATGAGTGTAACTTGACTAGCGTCATTACTTGTACATTACTTTAAAAATAAAATGCTGACATTTTTCAGTTTTCATTTTATTTACCTGTAATCATATTCAATGCTTTGTTTTTATACCTTACATTAATACCTGTATAGTAACATAAAATACAAATGGCGTACGTGTACTGTAACCTTTGAATCAAAACATGACATCGTAGGTGGAGACTGATATCTTACCTTTCTGATGGTATTATGTAAAAAAAAACATTAAATATTTATATAAAACTACATTCAGGGTATACTGTATGTATAAGCTATATTATGAAATGTAAATGGATATCGTGTTTAGACTTGGGTCCCATCCCCAAGCTGTCCCATTTTATAGATGCAAATATAAAAATATTCCGAAATCCGCAACACATTCGGTCCCAGGAATTTCGGATAAGGGATTCTCAACCTGTAATAATAATAACAATAATAATAATAACAATAATAATCATCTTTATTCATAAGTCATCTTTATTTTTTATAAAACCCGTTAAAAGTATCTTCTCAATGCGCTATATGGGAAAAGGAAAAAGGCAAATCTATTAAACCAGACTCTCAACGCTCTCCTTCCTTTTACTGTTTCTTCTGACTGGCCTCTCGTTCACCTGTGTTTACACTGTGCGCGCAGTACTTAAAATAAAGCATTTTGAAACCAAGTAGTGTACATTTCCGCTAACCTCGGCAGATGCTCTCGACAAAAGCTAGATAAGAGTTCTCTCTCTCTCTCATGCGAGTTCATGTCATCCACTGTTCATGTCGTGTGGGTCAGGCAGAGGCCAATGGTAAGACAATTCTATCCTCACTCATGTAAACGTATTGCACGCGGGTCCAAATACGCAAGCAGCATATTTAAGTTATTTTTAATTTTTCTTCAAGATATCTGCTGACACTTCTTTTAGATTGAAATAAATCTGTTTGAGCATGTGTGTTTGCAATAAAATTACTGATTGGAAAAAGATGTGTAACATTTGTAATCAATTTTGGAAAATTTGTGCACAAGGCACTGCACTGGTATGTGTCAATTGCTACGAATTGAATGAGACAGTTGTTAAGAATGGTGTTCCGGAACAGGAGCCTCGTCCAGTCGATAAGGTTGTGTAGGACTGCATATGCCAAAGTAATGGGGCTGGCTTTTAATGGACTGGTAAACCGTCCGAGTGAAAACTAGCAAAACGCTGTTTTTAATTTTTCAAAGGCTTACAAGGTCAGAAGACCTGAAACAAATCTGTTACAGAAGTCTCTTAAATTGAGCTTTTTAGAGCTGCAAATATAATTTGTTTTTACTTGCAGATTGAATCCACTCTCATGTACCACCATTTTACATTAACGCTAATCTGCTGTAAGAAATATACAGTACATGACTCTGTCAGTCATTGCTCAACATACCTGTACTGTATGTCGCATTAGTAGTTACGTTTCCTTATCTGTTATATTTTAATCTAAATGCCATTCTTAAGTTAAAAAGTAACCATAAATTGCCAGGGACATTCAGTTAGATTCTAACATGAGACAGAATTTTCTTTAAAAAAATGGCCTATATATTAATTTAGTGATCAGATTAATCGCAATGTTCTAAATCAGGCACGGCTGCAATTCGTGCTAATTATAACATCGACAGTGCTGAGCCCTTAGCACCGTCCTAAACACAAGTTCAGCTGGTCTCCAACTTTGATGCGCACGCAATTGAGCTCAGAGCTGCTGATGATCTCCAGGTAGTACAGTATTAACTAGTCCACAATTTAGTATGCACCTGCGTGCTAAATATGAGAGTTCTTTGCAACTGTCCCGATAGACCTTGCAAAATCAGGTGACTGGGGGCAGCTGCTGATAAATTACACTTTATTCTGTCTAAATCTCTGCTATTCAAAAGTATTGCTCCACATCCTATTTTTTTATTTGCTTCTTGCTCAAAACTAATTAAGATCTATTGACCTCTATTGATCTAGTGTCAGAATGGGACATCCTATCCAAAGTGGGTCACTAGGGCATGGGGGGATAGAGTCCACTGGGTGGGGCGGATGGATAATTTCCCATGGGCTGCACCGCTGGCATCGTGGTGGGGGCGGTGAGGATCAGAGGCTGCTTGTGACGTTTCATCTCGCGGGCCATCTGGCACCAGGCGCAGGCGTTACAGCAGGTGACCGTGCAGCAGTCACTGCAGATGGAGCCCTGCGGGACACCAAGAGGAACAGTTACCAGGGGCAGGAGACTGAGCTTGCCGGCCCCTGAAAACCGGCACATCTTCAGTTTGTTGCCCTGATATAACTTTTACACCAGCAAAAAAAACAAATGAAGCAAACACAAACATGTTTTCCAAAGCATGCTCCTTTGTCATGCGACACACTCCTTTTTCAAAAGAGTCCTGCGGCACCAACAGAGCACTCGGGCATCAGAGGGAGGACTGATGCAGCTCTCACTGAAAACATGGCAAGCTCTCCAGCACCAAGCCGAACAGAGAGGGTCCCATTAGCAACACTTTTTGTGAGTATGTGAGAATATTGCAGCCACATTCACACATTCTCAACTGATCAACTAATTCTGTGAATCTCTGTGTGACAATTTAGCCCAGATCTGGATCAGTGTTCTATGGACTACAGGGCTCAGCCAGTAATTTGAATGGTTGTCTGTGCCGATTCTACCTGGGAGACCCAAATCTTTATGTTTTAGTTCAGAATTATCTTGCTTGTTTCTTATCTTACATTTGTCAAGCACATTGTTCCCAATCCAGCCAGCCACTGAAAAGGAAACTCTTTAAGTATCATACTTCTTTACTCATTGTTTTCACATTAAAAGCTTAATGTCATTTTAAGACACTGCCACCTGTGTCATCTTTATTCTTTGTTTCATTAGACTCTTCAGTGACAGTTCGTTGTCTGCTACTTACATATTTTTTACATCTCTGTTGATGCTTTAGATTATGTTTTTTGTGAGAAGCAAGAAATAATTTGTTCTTGTTTTATCTTGCAGAGTTCTGTAGTTTTTATTATTTTACACCTATTTGGTATGGAATTGCTAATTGTTTCTTTATGTTTTAGTCTACATGAAGACTCCTAGTTTACACAGGAAAAAGGAATGTCAGTCCTGCTTCTCTGATCTGCCTGTCTCTCTCTTTCAACAGGCTGTAAGCTGTCTGTCTCTGTGCCTTATTCCTACTTCCTGTAATGGGACCCGACTGTATGAAGGAGCCTACAGTCAAAAATCATTCCCGCTACCCTGATTGTCTGGAAAAGAGTGTGTTTTTGTCCGAAAGAGTGCATTCACATACACACACTTGGCTACATTGATGAAGAACACTGCTTATACAACCAATGGGTTTAGCTGTTTCCTCTATGTGACTTCCAGCTCCCCTCAACCCTACCTTAATCCGGTACCTCTCCCGTATGGAACTGCGCACAGCCAGGGAGATGGGAGGGACTGGAGAACAGGGATCCAGCAGGGGGAGACAGAGGCATTCCCCGAACTCACTGGCTGTCTTGCACATGAAGCAGGGGAAACACCAGAAGGCACAGCAGCCTTAAAGGAAAAAACACAGATCAGGCCACTGACGGGGAAAGGGCACACAAAGATTGCCAGATTCAAAATTCTGCACTCTAAATCAGGACCAAGACCCAATTGAGGCAGTCTTAAAAGATTGATGTCCATCTCCCCAGGAAAAGATGACTGTTTTTTCAACAGGATCAAGCACTTTCAGGCTTAATGGCAACCAAACACTTGACAGGGTCACAGTTTCCAAGATTGAGCTGCTAGCCTCTCCGATCAAAACACCTAGTCACACATTTATAAGCCACATAGAATGGACATAGCTCTAAAGAACACAGAATCCTAAGGGCTGAAATCTCTCAAACTCATCTGAGCAGTCCTCACCTCACAAAGATCCATGTTTTCCCGGACATGCACAGACTGACAGTCACTCTTGCCATTCCTCAGCACGCAGATGAATCCATCCATCCATTTTCCAGTTGCTTTATCTAATTCAGTGTCGTGGGAGAGCCAGAGCCTATCCCAGCAAGCAACAGGCACAACCCAGGGTACACCCTGGATGGGACACCAGCTCCTCGTAGGGCACACACCGACACGGACACACTCACACCTAGGGCCAACTTTCCCAGAAGCCAATTAACCCACAAGGTTATGTCCAATCATGATCACAAGACCCAGGGTGGTGTACCACGTCATAGACGCAACCTCTGATCACCAGCGGCACACAGCCCCAGCAACCCTTAACAAACAGTGGCGACAGCACTCCAACAGGGGGGTACAGAAGTGGGGAGAAATCCCCGCAACTACAACCTTGAAATTGGTTATGTTTTGGGGCTGTGAGAGGAAACCCACATAAAGATGGGGAGAACATACAAATTCCACGGAGACAGCCACCCAGGTCCAGAATTGAAACCAGGGCCCCAGCACTGTGAGGCAGCAATGTTGCCAGTGTGGTGTATCTGGCCTTCCCACAAGCCTGTACTGGATAAAGCAGTTAGAAAATAGATGGGTGGATGAGAATATATACAACCAAAAGACCATGTTGCCCATCTAGCACATTTGCTAGTTAGGAGTTAATTGATCCCAGGATCCCATTTAGCCAGTTCTTGAAAGAAG